TAAATAAAGAATATTATAATTATTATTTTATAAATGTATATAAGCATAACAGTTGTATCATATATTGTAAAATAATTATTTTAATAGTTCTTGAAAGGAAGGTTAAATACAAATAATTCCATATGTTTTTCTCATAAGTCTTCATTAATTATTTACGTTGTTGGCATTACCATCGCCTCGTTCATAAATTAATGGAATCGAGATTGGATATCATGATTACGGATATTATATTTCCAAAAATAATTTCATATGATAAATCATTTGATAATTATGTTAAATTTATTCCAATGAACTGTACATGCAACTTGAAAAGAATATGAATTTTTTCTCTTAAGTTTCTTCAAATATATAATTTGAAATTATACTATAGAGCAAATTCCTATAAAATTGTTATTTTATAAATGTATTGTCATTATTTATTTAATGCTCAGTTCAACTTATAAGATACTATTGCGAATTATTAATTAAAATGACATTAGTAATGCTCTTTACAAATATAAAATATAATTTAATGACACATCTATATATCTACATGAATATAAACACGTACGTCGCGTTCTCATGCATGCATAAAATGCATATTGAGCGAATTCCACTTCCGTGTAAACGTATGTTAGAATAATGGTCGATGTTCACTTTATTTCTTTTTCTCTTTTCTCCGCTCTTTCAGCTCCCTTCTCGCGTTATCGCGCCATTATATATTTTTCTTTTTCTATTTTCCGTTCTGCGTATTCGCTATATGTCTCTCTCTCTCTCTCTCTCTCTCTCTCTCTCTCTCTCTATTACACACCCACACACACACACACACACACACAAACCTTTCTTGCATCTTGCACGTGGTGTTATTATATATTCCTATGGTAATTTTATATTAGTAATCGTTGTTGCGCTTATTGTTTCAGGTTGAGAAAAGAAAATACAGTGAAAATATTACGACTAACAATTTAGATGATTTTTAAAAATTAAATATAAAATATACTTTTATTATAGAATCTAACTGTACATCAATATTTTTTCACTACGAATAAAAGCAAACAACTATTTGCAATTGATTCAATTCGGAATTTAAAAAATATTTTTTTTCATTATAAAAATAATAAGTTTGATAAGAAATTATTAACAATAATAATTAATAATTATTAAATACGTTGTACCTGAACATATCAATTTTAAAAATATCTGCATACATGTAATTGTATATTTATATTGTTCTTTGAGTTTGGATTCATATACATACAATTCGAAATGCTTATTTTTAAATACATTATTGCCAAAACTTTTATTTATCTGATCCAAAAGTAAATGTTACCGCTGTTTTGTATTTATAGCTTTTTGAAAAATTGAATTAACGTGATATTTATTACATATATTTATATTTTTTATTTATATATAATGTTAAATATTTATTTACTATAAATTATATTTATCTATTATTTATATATTATATTAATAAATGATGAATGTATATATATATATATATATATATATATATATATTTGCATACACACACGCGCGCGCGCGTGCACACACACACATATATTTTGACAGAAGAAAAGTCTGTGTTTCCTAAAGTTTCACTGTTTTGCTGTTCTATGTAAGGTTTCAACATATAACTAGAAAAAATTTAGTATCGAATTCTACCTTTACATCTATCTCCCCTTTTATTTATCCATATCAATAACCGTATTGGCATCGTCATAAGAAATTTTAACTCCTTCTTTGTCTTTTTCCTGGCTCTCCTATTCCTAGCAAAAAGGATTAGGCGGGAGACTTTATTATTTTTTTCTTTTCTCTATTAGATCAATGTCTGTCAATCGCTTCTTCCGAATCATAGTCTTTGCTTGTGCTTATCGGAAAGTTAGTGAGAAAATTAATTATATATATATATATATATATATATATAAGAGTATTGGAAGAAAGGATAGGTGAGGGGAAAGTGAGGTCCAAGCATGCCATGGTTTGAGAAATATATGTAGGAAAAAAGGCGAATAGCAAAGAGAGGTAGAAATAGAAAGAAATGAAAAAAGAATGAAAAAGAGAGAAGGATTGAGTTAGCGAGAGGTTCTTTTCTCAATCGGGAAGTCTTGACATGCAACGTTTCAAGGCCGTGAGTGGCCCCTTTCTTTTGGATAGTCGATCTTGAGAGATTGCGATAGAAATTTCATTTTCATTATTGACGGCCTCTCTTTTTTCTTTTCTTTCGTTCAGGTAGCTCAGTTATAGTGTTCGAGTCAATTGTATTCAATTCATTCATAACCTTCAATTTGGTAGAATACATAAGGAGTTTTCAATTATTTGTCCAAATTTTCACTTATGATTGTGAAATAGTTGAGAAATTCAATATCAATCCATTACGGAGCTTTTAGCTCTTATTATAATTTTAATAAACTCTTAATGTTAACTGAATAATCGTCAAATAACATTATATTATAAAGCTGAAACAAAATAATAATACATGTTAATGGTTTAACTATAATATTGCAGTTATAATTTAATGTTAATCAATGAATATTTGATGTACATTAGATTTTCTGCGATTTTAAAGAAAGTACTTAAAATAAACAGCATTTAATATTTCTGATATATATATATATATATATATATATATATGTATATATATATATAAAATTATGCATACTTTGAAATATGAGTAAAAAAATTTTTTTTTTCCAATTAATATTCCACACCGTATAATTTTATAGGTCTTTAATAATTTTTAAATTGAAAAATGATTAAAAGTCTTATAAGTGCGGTTGTGCTGTGTTCTTCTTTATTTACTTAATCTGTCTTATATAATTTACATTATTTCGTAATACTATTAGTCACTTATTGCATTAATTGTGTATTTAATATAAAAAGTCTTAAAGTAGGAAAAAATCACAGATTATTCGTACTTTATGGATTTTATGATTTTATATATTTTGTAATAATAGGTATATACACTCAATTTGCGATTATATTAATTATGAGTATCGAGAATTTTATTACCGAGCTTATCATAAGAGCTGCTATAAATTTTATCTAAAATCTATTAATTTAACTCGCTTTAATTTTTTCACCTTTATTGAAATGCATAATGAGATAACGGATAATACCTTTATGATATAAATTATACTTAATATGTGTATCCAAACAATGTAGTGCTAAACTTGTCAAATGATACACTATATATATATATATATATATATATATATATATATATATATATATATATATAATAATAATAATAATAATAATAATAAATGAAAATAAAGATGCATTAGTTTAGAGACAATACATTTTAATGTTTTAGAAAATAATAATCATTAAGAACCATATATAATGAAGTATTTTTGTAAGGATATTATATATGTAGAATAAAAAAATTTAGGAAATAACAAGTTGGGCCTTAAAAGTTAAATAATATTAAAAAAAAACTTTAATTTAATTAAAAAATTCATCACTATTGATGTTCCGAATGCAATTTCGTAGTATTTCAATGTTTCAATATACAAGGAACGACAATTAAATTTTATTAAAATAATATTTTACTGGAATTTCTAAAAATAATATTAAAATGAAATGTAATCTAATGCCGAGACCAAACACGACTTGGATTATTTTTAGTTATCAAAATTTTAATAACTATGCGTGTCCTCCCATTAAAACATTGATAATAGAACTAAACGGAAGGTAAGTCCAGTGTCGTCTAATGATTAATATTTGAGAACATGTTTCTATCTCATCAAATTTCGTCAAATTTACTCCGAAGTAATTAATATGAACAAATAGCCGAGCGATGAATGGGAAATAGTGTAAGAAACAATGGCGATGCGCCCCTTCGCTTCCTTTGCTCGACAGTTCTACAATGAATGTGGCTGCACTCAGACAAAGTGCTCTTTGGATCCGATTCGAGCAAGTGGAGGCGATAATCCATCGTATTCGATCGAAACACGGATTGTCCTGGACGTACATAGTTTAAAATATCGCGCGGTACTTGCAGGGTATACAAACGGGCTCGTGGAAATCGATCCGATAACGGCTTCTAAAGCTTTTTTCAATTCCATTCACACGAACAATGTTTCAATGTACATTAATATTTTTTCGTTTACACATACCTATATATATATATATATATATGTATATATATATGTATATATATATATATATATATATATATATATATATATATATATATGCGCTAGTAAAACAGTTTCCTTAAAGTTTAATTTAAGAAGAAATAAATGAATTTAGTCGATATTATCTTACTCGCTGTCACTTTAATATTATAATATTTAGAAGTAATGTCTCGTCTCGTATACATGCCGGGAATACTAATTGCCGAGCAAAATAAAGACAATAAAATAAAGAAATCACAATGAATTATAAGCGATTGCACACTTGGATATTGTAAGATTTTTTGTACTTTATTAATAAGAATTCATCTTACTAAATCGTAGATAGATGAAATTAATTTTTGCTTTGATACTCATTGCTGGGCCCTATAGTGCATAATATATATTCCTACTATTCCCTTGATTGACAACAAAGGGAATAATAGCATTTGCATATATTTAAAGTAATTTTAAAGGGAATAGGAAGTATTGCGTCATTCAACGTCTTGAAAATATAGCTATACTTTTGAAAATTTATTTAAGTATTCCGTCTCTGCAATATCGTGTACCCTGGTGAATAAAATAGTCTCTGCAGTTATTATTCAGAATGCTATTACAGGGAGTAATATTTTTTGCGTAGTTTTTAAATATTTTATCAAATATGTAAATGAATAAATAATGACGGATGTAAAACACAGAATACGCTGAATTCAACACCAGAGACACTTGGCCTCGTGATCTCTACATTCATCGACCTCCCGGAGCTCAATCAATACGCTCTTATATTTCTTAGTTTCAGGCGATCCAAGTTTTAATGTACGAGCATCGGAATATCTTTCGCTCCTCTTTCCCATACTCTTACCCATGCTCTATTATGTCCTTTCGCCGATGCGTATAGCGCGTTCTTCATGGCTTCTTCAAAATCGATTTTTCGACTTCTCGAAGCAATTCTTGGGTCGTTTGATTCATTCGGTCATTTAATGCCATTTTTTGGCGTACTTCGTGTAAGAGCTCTTGCAAATTATTCATATTTTCTTGAAACTTCTTTTCTTGAACGGCCGATGTCCATTGAGAGCGTTGCCACTCCAACACCATTATACTAGCGAGTAGAACAAATATCACAGTCTGCAATTTATCGATCAAGAATACAGCGATTAAACATAGTTACGCGTATTTGCAATTGGCAGTGTTGATGAGTTGACAATTATATTTTTCGTATTGGGAGTCATTTTAAGATGAATATTAATCGACTCTTTTTAAGAAAGAAGTACTTCTTATCAACGAATCAGCATAATTAACTAATAAATTTTTACATTAGTGAAAAGGGAAATTTTTGTTCGTTATACGGAAATAAATGTGTAAATATTTCAATAATTACAGTTAGTATAAGTTTGTATAAAATGTTTATTTTCATCATACGTTTTTCGTATTGCAAAAAGAAAATAGAAAAAGACTTCTCATTTTTAAATAGTCTATCATATAAGTCAATTATATAATGTAATAAAACGAATTTGAAGTAAGTCATAAACTCGGATCAGGTAAACGACGAATTAAAGTCATCAAAATGTTAATACAGGCTAAAATTTATCATGGCATTGTACATGTTAATAATTAATATTTACGTTATTTTTGTTTTCATTTATTTGTTGTGAATTTATTTTCAGTCTTCTTATTACATTAAATTGACAATAATAATATACGGAATAAATACTTTATGAACTAAAATATTCATAGTGTTTACCAATTTTATTTCAGCAATTTGTTACTTTTCATACAAAAATTGTTAAATAATACACACAAATTTTTACCGCAAAATATATTATGGCAATAATAAATTGCAGTGCGTTAGTAATTGAATATTATCCTTATATCTTCTAGAAAATAATAATATCCACACATTATTCTAAACCCCATAACGGCTTATATTACAATTGCATCGAACTGATGGATGAAACTGCAATACGAACAAGACATAAGTTTACACTAACCTCCATCATGAGCTCAGAGCCGATTTCAATTGCCTTTTCGTTGCTAATCATCTGCTTATCGTTTTTACCAGCCGAATCTTTCTCCCTTTCTATCATTTTTACGCTGTTTTCTAACTTATAATAAAATTTCCCGGGTATCAACAGGAAGTACCGCTGGAAAATTGGCGAATCGCTTGCATATTTCACTATGCGCTTCGATATGGGTTTCGTAATTTGTCGGAAGAATTGATTCATAAGTGACAGAACCGGGAAATGAAAATGCATAGTTTCCGTAATTTTTTCGTCTTCTATTCGACGATACGTTACGGCACAGCGAAAGTTTGTTAACAAAAAAAGAAAAAAGAATAAAGAAAAAAGAAAAAAGAAAAATGAAAAAAGAAAACATTTGCAATCGACACGAGCATTAAAGGATGTTCATGAACAATTCGTGTTTTTATATTTGCTTATACATTTTTATATTTTGTATTTTTAATTGGTTATGTTAGCGCTATAAGATTGGTCGTCTGAATTTTCAAAATTCAATGCACCATTTTTCTACAAGACTTTTTTTTTTACCAGCAATTCTTAATTGGATTTATATAAATTCAAAGTATATTATATATTTTAACACATGAATATAATTAATTATATTATCCAGTAAAAATTTATAATGCATCGATATGTTAATTTCTATTGCAAATAAATTTACAATCTTAAATAACCTTCATTCAATTATGTCATTATTGATCTATGCATGAAATTTTTCTTTTTTTTTTAATTCACATTAGAGCATTATTATTATTAGTATGTTGCTCAAGTTAGTGAAGTGTTTTTAATAAACTATTAACAATAAATTATTATTTAATAGGCAGTGTTTCATGTTTATGGCTGAACGAATGGGCAACTAACTCATTTTATAAATAAGTTTGGATTACGTCAATACTATTAAAGATTTTCGTAGTATATAATTTATCAAAGTACTAACATTGACTGCATATTAAAAATTTTGTTATAACACCATATGTATTTATGTGCATAGATACACAAACACACGGGCGGTTATTCATTTATTTATTTATTCTCACACTATCTCACATTTATTTATTATGGAATACAACATTACAAAATATATAATATTATTATATATTTAAGGGACTGCTTTAATGATAATTTTTACTACCCGCTCATCTTGCTACTTCCAAGTTCCATTGGCTGAAACTGTATCAACTCAGGCAAGTTTATAGTATTTGAAAGATACATTAATATAATTTACGTAGATTTCACTCGTTTTAAGTCTTGTTTTTCACTAGCTTTAATTTTGAATTTTAAGATCTGTATTTATGTTTCAAGTTACACTTTAAAAGTCAAGGATTGATAAAAGTTAGCTTTAAGTGTAGGCCATTTTTATTGAAAAAGAAAAAAAAAATCAGTTTTCCATGTTGAAATATTATAGTAACCGATTTTTTCTGTAATTTGTTTAAAATTTTGTATTAGGAAAATGTTTATCGAAACATAATTAATCGAATATATACGATTAAATGCGATTAAATGATTTCATTTAAATGAAAATTTTTCATCAATTACATGTAAATTTTTTTTTTTTTTTTTTGATGATTTGTTAAATAATTCGATATTATTAAAAATGTTTGCAAACAAGAGCAGAAACATTGGATGAAATACAAGCAACGTCAGTCCCTTACTCAGAAGACAGACCGTTTTGTTTCTGTCCTGCTTAAGCGTACAAATTGAACTCTCACATCAGAGAGGTTAAACTATCGATCGTAGAAAAATAAAAAGTCAATTTGCCTGTTGCCAACGTAAAGTTTCGTCAAACTGAGCGTAGTGCCTTCACGAATCTACTTTTCTGTTTCTTTTTTATTCGACATTTGAATTTAATTTAGAGTATTTCACTATTTCTATCATCGTCATTAATCAATACTTACTTTTATTAATTATTATAATACAATCTTAAAATTGTCACTAAAATACTTATAAATAAGTATCTTAAATGTGCAAAAATATTTTATCGGGCGAATTGAATCTTGAGTGGAAGTTTAAAATAAACTGTAATCAGGTAACTCTAACAAATCTATTGATACGACGTTATATATAAACGACATTACATTCAATTTTAGAGAAAGATGACGCGCTTCGGATAAAGAGGTAGGTGTGTTAAATTTCACGTAAGTAAAAGCTCACTATCTCGGGGGAAAACTTTTAAGTAGTTAGAATTTGAAAGTGAAAGAAAGTTAAAAGGTTAAGAAAAATAGTTGTATCGATAGAACAAAACTTTTTAAAATTTCGTTAAATACAGCATAGGCGCATATAGAAATTTCTAAGAACTTGTAAAGTTGCAAAAACTATGTTAAACACAAGCATAAATTCTTGCACATGTGATTATCAAAGGTACCTGTGGCGTAAAATAGCACGAAAGTTCAATTTCATCAAAGTTAATTTCTTGTGAATTATTTTCGTTATTCCTCCTTTTTTTTCTTACTTGACTTATGTGCCCCTCACTCTCGTTGATATTACAGTTGTCACAGTACTGTCCTTATAGTCCTTCCATTTGGCCTCTGATACAAGACGAGTACTCCATTTGCAGAATCCATTGAGTGAGCCAGCGGAAGATGAGTCGGATACTCATAGATGCTGGGGCTATCGCACGAAGATAGTTTGGGCAAATTTATGGATACTGCCGAGGAGGAGAGACGATTAATTGATTCAGTGACGAGGGAATAAAAAATATAGATTTTTTTTTTTTTTTTTTTTATAAATTATTACGATTTGTGTGTTTATGTATACTTGAATGAGATTTATAAAAAGGATTGGCAACTATTTTAAGCTTCCATTTTATTTTTAAGATCTTATTCAAAGCAACTTTGTATTAACATACAACTGTGTGTATTATACAAAAAAAAAAATTATTATAAAGTATAATATAAATTATATAAATAAATATAAATAAATAAATATAAATTTTGAATCTTTATTAGCATTAAAAAAATAATTTCCTTTTACAATAAAGTTCCAATACAACAATATAACCACTTTAGATGTTTTGTAAAATTCTTTAAATCGAATATTTATAAACGTGACGATTTATTTATAGCACAACAAAATTATTATTGAACGAGAATACTCTATTGTAATAATTTCAAGTCTCTTATATGAAATGCAAATTTCTTTAACAGAATATTTAAATTTCATTAATTATATAAAAAAGTTCATTGATGTAATGTCGCGAATACATGAAAATGCAACACACTTCATAGAACTTTTATTATTAAAAAAAAAAACAATTAGTTTAGTAATTTATTTGAGAAAATTTTAGTAAAAATAGTTCATTTCAAAGTTGAAATTAATTAAATTAAATTTTCTATTATATATGAAGAGATTTGAATTTCTAAATAATTTTCATTTAAAATAAAATTGTATACAAAATTGCCTTTTATTATTTAGATATTTATTTTATTATTTGTTAAAAAGTCGACTGATCAATTTGCAATTCTTTTGTCAATGCGAAGGAGATGAAGATAGAAATGTTATTCGATAAATTTAATATTGTGAAATATTTCTTAGTTTAATATTCAAGATGTTTATAGTTCATTGTATAACGATATGATAGTATCTCTGCAATAAAAGTTTACAACACATATTGTGAGAAAATTAGTGGAACCTCATTGAACAAAATAACTTCCTTTCATATTAATAACATATTGGTGTAGTTACTTGCATGATAAGATAGTTGTATTTAATATTTAATTATTGGTTATATGTATGATTTATTTTAAAGTCACAATTGTTATTATTATATATTATGTAATTATAAATTTCACTATGTCGGACAATACTCCATCAAACTTTACGCTTTTACGCTTTTATATTTCAAAGTTCTATGCGTATCTGTTCGATTAACAGGACAAATTAATAGTTAAATGACATATTAATGGCTTTGTATTTGTAATGAATTTACAATTCGAATGATGGTGGTGTTTTATCAAAGTATTATTAAACAATTAGAATGAACGATAGCCGTAGTAACTTATATATTAGATTTAATGAAATGATATGATAATTATGAAAAGCTATTAAAGTATAAAACTTTTTAACTTTAAAAATAAATGTGCTGCTAAAGTATATCCACAAAATTCATATTTAAGTGGTATTTGCATACGATATAAAAAAAGCCTGGAGTACTAAAGATGTAATATATTTATAATAGCATTGTTGATTATATATTGGGCTATTTGTCATGAAATAATTAGAGAGATTCGATTAGATTTTTAATATTTGATAATTAATGCTGATTTTAAATGGTAATTAAAACGTCTTATTAATTTAACAAGTAATGTACCCAATATTCCACCATACTCTAATGAATATTGTCAACAATAATTCACATCAATATTTATTAGCTTGTACGTTAAAAGATTCGAGAAATTATTGCAAATGCCAACAAATGATTTAGGCATACGATAAACATAAATACACCTAGGCTTTTCCATTCTCATTTAAAAGAATTCAAGTGAAATTAAATTGCAATCATTCCGATATGTGGCGCATCGAGAAAAACGCTATCCATTCTTACTAAGATAATATCCCACGTCTCTTGCTGCTTGCTTCAATTCACATTTTCAACTTAATTGAATGAAGAGAATATCGCACCAAGTGTTCGCACAAATGCGATTGAAGGAGGCGACGGAATCCTGATTGTCCGGGCACACCGCGGGAAACTAAAAGCGTATGGAATTTCTCAAGATTTCTCGAAGTGTTTCTTTGTTATAACATGATCATAGCCCGGATTCGCAATAAGTACGTGGGGCGATACATTTGTACAGTTGATAGAAAAAGTGAATAGAGTGCCATTGCCATTCCTTGAGCGGTATTTGGACATATATCGTATAAACTGGAGCGAACCAGCACCCTGGGAACGTCGCTCGAGACGACCGACGGAGGGTGGGATTGTGCGCTGAATTCTATAAACATCAGTAGCGAGTTTTACTCGTTTTCTGCTGCGAGAAAAGCCAGTAACAATGCTAGTAGCGCCGTATGTCTTTGCCGCGATTTTCACGTCGCTCTCTTCTCTTCTACTACACCGTTCCAATAAAATTTTACCTTCGTTTCAATGCTACGGATGGATTGTATTTTCGAAAGGATAGTCCCTTCGTCTCTCGTGAATTCGATAGTCTCTACGTGCTTGGCCCGACATTTGGCATGTAAAATTGGACGTAAGTATCGGCGAACGAGACTAAGGAGAAAAGTAAGTAGACTCTGATGTTCGTATC